TGGCTCACTGCAACCTCCGCCTCCTGGGTTCAAGCGATTCTACTGCCTCAGCCTCCCAAGTAGCTGGGATTACAGGTACCTGTCACCATGCCCGGCTAATCTTTTGTATTTTTAGTAGAAACAGGGTTTCATCATGTTGGCCAGGATGGTCTTGAACTCCTGACTTCAGGTGATCCACCCTCCTCATCCTCCCAAAGTGCTGGGATTACAGGCGTGAGCCTCCGTGCCTGGCCTTTTTGCACTGTTACTTAACAAATATACGAGTGGCTTAGGTTTCACAATTTACATAGCTGATATCATGCACTTTTGCCAGATATAAAATTATACATTTTTCCCTACCCTTGTGGCTCTATGTCTACACAAAACCAAACACAGCTGTTGTTCACAGTGGCTACCATTTACATAAACATTATAGGTAAAATTTCCATTACAAGACAAATTGTACTTATGTACAACTAAGTAAATAAGTTTTAAAAAAACCCATAAAACAACAACAAACTAAACAAAAAACATTTTATTTGTTGGCATTTTTCTGTTGCTTAGAATATTTCCTTTGCTAGAAGAGCAGTCACCTAATGAGTGACAGAGTGCTTACTTATGAGTGAATTGCTTGCATCCTCATTTTTACTGCTCCTTTTTTTGCTGATTTTCTTGGCGTCTTTGGATGCTTTCCAATTCATTAGAAATTGTCTTTCTATATTTTTAATTTCTTTTCCATCAAGAAATTCTGGAGAAAAATACATACATTTAAAAATATATACATATATATACATATATACAATATATACATATAAACATAAGTCAAAATATGCAATTCTGGTTCAGAGCACAGAAACTTAAGTTACACCATAGACTGAAATAAATTTGTTTTTAAAATACGTTAATTACGCAACGTATGTACTTTTGTTGAGATTTTATTTATAGATTTTTTTCTGATTCCAAAAAGAACATATGCTTGTTATAAACAATGGAAATATCATCAAATAAAACATTAAAAGGCTCCGTAATTATTATCCGGAGACAAGGTCTCGCTCTGTCATCCAGGCTGGAGTGCATAGAGTGATCTTGGCTTACAACAACCTCTGCCCCATGGGGCTCAAGTGATCCTCCCACCTCAGCCTCCCGAGTCGCTGGGACCACAGGTGTGCACCACCATCCCCAGCTATTTTTTTGTATTTTTAGTAGAGACAAGGTCTTGCCATGTTGCCCAGACTGGCCTGAAACTCCTGAGCTTAAGCAGTCCGCCTGCATCGGCCTCCCAAAGTGCTGGGATTACAGGCATGAGCCACCGTGCCTGACCATACCCCTTATTATGTTTGTTTATTTATTTATTTATTTATTTTTGAGACAGGATCTCACTCTGCCATCCAGGCTGGAATGCAGTGGCATGATCTTAGCTCATTGCAACCTCAAAACTCCTCAGCTTAAGTGAGCCTCCTGCCTTAACCTCCAGAGTAGCTAGAACAATAGCCATGTGCCACCAAGCCAGGATAATTAAAGACACTTTTTTTTGTAGAGGTGGGAACTCACTATGTTGCCCAGGCTGCTCTTGTATTCCTGGCCTCAAACAATCCTCTCACCTCGGCTTCCCAAAGCCCTGGGATTACAGAGGTGTGATAGAAATTGAGCTTCATAAATTATACAAATAATTTTTGCATGTTGTAAGACATTTGGAAAACACACAAAAAATAAAAAAATTATTCCCCAATGAGAAATAATCACTGGTAACACTTTTGTATATTTCTTAGCATGTTTTTATTTTCGATATATGTATGTAAAATTGGAATCCTCTATTTATATTAGTTTTGCATCCTGCTTTTTAATATTGTGTTGTGAATATTTTACCATGTTTTTCCTTAAATACAGTTTTTAATGGCTGGTGTTCTATTGTTTGTGGATATATTATGAAATACTGAACAATTCCCTTATTAAAGGTTATTTTATATTGCCTATATTGTTTCCTCAATTACATGAACACAGATGACCTTCATTTAATAGAAGGATGATTTTTTTCTTCAAAATTTTTTTCTTTCTTTCCATAGGACTCTGCTTGATAGATTTTTTTCTAATGAAATTTATGTATAGTAGTTTTGAAAATTAGATATTTTCTTTCATTATTCATGTAATCCACTAGATCCCAGAATGTAGAAAGGATGTAGTAAAATTTATTAGATCACACATTATTTCAGGGATAATGACAATATTCTGATAAAATATTAGTTGTACTACTGAAAATATTAATACTGCCACTTAAACATGAGCCATAATATTGTGTTATACCCAAAGTACAAAACAAAATGTTGAAACAAAGAATATAAACTAGAACTATAGAATCTAGAAGTAAAACTGTCTCCATATCTTATTTCATGCACTTTTTTTTTCACTGAAGAAGCTAGTACTATCCAAACCATAAGAAATTGTCAAATATCTTAGTACTTATAACTTTACAATAAAAGTCATCTTTTTTATTATTTATTTTAAAAAAACCTCTTTAATCATATGCACATAAGGGGAATAAAGGGCAACACCAGGCTGACTGGGGAAGGGAGCAAGATATTCTGCCTTTGTCCCAGTGTCTGCTTGGCATAGTTCTGAGATCATACAAGGGGGAGTGGGTTGGGAAACAGAATAAATGAGAGGACAGAAGAGACAAAGGCAAGAGGGGAGAGGCAAGGGCTTGCAGTAGTCTCAATTAGTGGACTGTACGCAGATTCACTTAGGGCAAGGTTCCAGTAATGTTCAGCCCCATGCTTTCTGAAATGCTCACGAGCTATGTTCTCTGTAGGACACTGTTTAAACTTCATCTCTCCAAAGCTCCGGTCTTTGGCTGTACCCTCCCAGAATAGTATACATTTGTTGGTTTTCTTCACAGCTTCCTCATTAGATTCCTCATGATCATCTCCCTTTGTGTTAGATGTCCATTCATCCCACTTTATCCGATGCAGCATTAAGATGCTTACATTTCTTCTGGGCCTTGGGGCCCCCTTCCACTACTACCACGTTGACATCCTTGTGCAGTACCACCACCCCGTCAGGTACAGTTGCCCAGCAGTGGCCTCAATCTTGAACTTCTTGGCTGGGGTGCTCAAATTTCTAACTCCATCTCAATCTTGAACTTCTTGGCTGGGGTGCTCAAATTTCTAACTCCATATACAGATATGTGTACCCCTGTGAAATGTCTTAAGCTTTTAAATTTTCTTGACCTTTCTCTATTCTGCTGTGAGTTTTCAGGCAGAATTGACCTCTTCATGCACTTTCTGTCTTTTTGCCATCTGAGCTCTGACATGGACTTCTACCTTCGTGTAGTCTTGAACAGCTTCTGTTCCTAATACTTGCGTCAAATTAGAATTCTCACTTTGGGTTCTGGAGGAGGCATCAGGCCCAGCCTGACTTTTTCTAGTAGTTCCTTCTGTGCTTCCCTCCTTGTCTGTCTCTGAAGTTTTTTCTGTTCCTTCTTGGTAAGATACACTCCCAGAGTAACTGGTGTGTCATTGTCGACTGGAGGATTGAGCTGGGCTGGATGTTCAACAAGATTTGTGATTCCAAAATAATCTTCTCTCTTGGGATTTTCCTCTGTAAGGTCAAAGCCATTGGGGATTATGTGAGTCCCACCACTCAATTTCAGGGATATCTACTTCCTTTAGCTCCTTCCTAGGAGCAATGAAGGCAAGCCTATCAAAGTATGGGTGCCTATTTTTTGAGCTGCTTGTGAAATCTCTCCCTGAAGCTTCTCCAGTTGAGCCTTTGTTCTTAATTGCTGAGCAATCTTCTCAAATTTGCCCTTGTCATGGAATTTAAAAGTGTGTTTCTGGCGCCGGGAAGCGACAGTGGAGACTCAGGGTCAAAAAAGATATTGGACTCCATGTCTTCTGATGATTTTTCTTTTAGCTGTTGCTTGAATGGTTCCCTCTTCACAGCACGAATATTGGCAGGAGTAGGCATGCAGTGTGTCAGCTCAATCTCCTTGCATGTTGCATCTACAGTGCACCCTTGATCATCTAGGATCAGTGGTGTAGGTTTAATTTGGTCTTTTAACTCCACCTTTGGGGGAGCAATGCCCATGGCATGGAGATTAGCCAGGCCCAGAATGTTGGCATTGCTGATGAGTCCTGGCTTCAATGCCACCCGGGCTTGGAATCGAGCTTGTAGTTCAGCTGCTTTCCTTGCCTTCTCAATGGCATCATTCATGAAAGTGGTAGCCTGGGAGGGCAGAATAGTGTGGCCGATTGGAAGTCGCTCTGGTTGGGAGGAAGAAGGCGTCTTTGGCTGAGGTGTAGGGGGGCTAATAAAGCGTAGCTGTTTTTTCCTCTCCTCCATATGTCATTTTGCTGCGTCCATCATCTGTTTGATCTGGAGCTTAGTCAGCATGCCAGGACTCTCTGATGGAGGCCCAGGGATCACCTCAGGCTCTTCTTCCACCTCCTCAAAACGGGGTATTCGCTGCTTCTTTACTCCTGATGATTCCTTAGAGATCTCAAGAGTCATCACCAAACACCTTCTTTAGCTCTCGTTTTCTGCTTCAGTCACTGCTAGACTTGGAATGCCTAGAGCTTCCGCCTTTCTCCTACAGCCTCAGTTTGTCCACAAATCGGAGAGTAGAATCATCAAGAAAAGGTATCAGATGATCGGCTGCCTTCTTCTTGTCCATGCTCTTCCCCACACAGTTCAATGCTGCTGTGACCACTGTAGGCTCTGAGAAACCCAGCACGCTCTTCACTGTCTTCTCATCCGCCTTGGAGCCTCCCAAAGTGCTGGGATTACAGGCGTGAGCCACTGTGCCCAGCCTGACATCACTGATAAATTAGGAAGAAAAGGTTAAGGAGTGTCTAATTCTAGTTATCAACGACGGTGAAAAGATCAATGGTTTCAGCTGATCCAGCTCCCTCTTAGTGCCATTTTTCAGGAAAAAGAGAACAATAGCTCGAATGGGACTCAATACTACAGCTCACAAACTTCAGCCCCGAGACGGAAGCCGAAAGTTAAACCTGAACCAGAAACCTTCTGACCGCCCTAGGCCTGTCGTCGCTATCGCCACGGCCGCTGCCACACCGCTGTCTCCCAAAATGTGACCAGGGAGGGTCGGGCCGCCAATTCGTGCAGCCGTATTTGCCACTTTCCTGGAGGCAGAGCGCATGCGTCGCAGAAATGAAAAGTTTCCCTGAACAAGTTGCTTGCTTTCTGTTTCCCGGACTAAGCCTATTTCTGCCAAGTTAATGTCTTTAACTTCCTGAAGCGGAAATTGGGTTACTTGTAGTTTTCCTCATATGGAGAATAAGTGTGCAAAAGCAAAATTCTGCTAGAATGAAGAGCGAGGCTTCTGCGTTTGTGTTAAACCCAGTCTTTCTGATAGAAAGTAAATCCTTTCACAGTCGTGATAACTAGAATTAGCCATCCTTCCTTAACCTTTTCTCCCTAATTTAACAGTGGTGTCAGGCTGGGCCGGTGGCTCATGCCTGTAATCCCTGCACTTTGGGAGGCCAAGGCGGGTGGATCACTTGAGGTCAGGAGTTCGAGACCAGCCTGGCCAAAGTGGTCAAACCCCGCCTCTACTCTAAAGGTCATTCTTTGATGCTCAGTTTTTCCAGCCACTTATATTTATTGATGTCTTTCCAGATCTATTTTTATTAATAATTATATAACTTGTTAGTATATTTTTGGATGAGATATATGTAATCAATACATACTTTTAAAATATACTATAAAGATAAGGAATGAAAATTCTAAGTCTTTTATTGTAATCTCTTCTTCCTCATGTTAATGTCCCAAGCAGAGCTGAGGAATGACTAGGAAACTGTGCCCCCGTTAACCTGATTCCATCTGATTTTTAACAAATGATCTTTTTTTTTTTTTTCTTTTTTTTGAGATATTCTCTCACTTCGTCGCCCAGGGTGGAGTGCAATGGCATGATCGCGGCTCACTGCAACCTCCGCCTACCAGGTTCAAGCGATTCTCCTGTCTCAGCCTCCCGAGTAGCTGGGATTATATGTGCACGCCGCCACGCCCGGCTATTGTTTTGTATTTTAGTAGAGATGGAGTTTCACTGTGTTGCCCAGACTGGTCTTGAACTCCTGAGCTCAGGCAATCCACCTGCCGTGGCCTCCCAAAGTGCTGGGAATACAGGCGTGAGCCACCGCGGCCGGCCTCAAATGATCTTATTTGAAGTTAATAGGTGTGAAAATGGTTCAAGACTGGGAGCCAGGCAATGGATTCCAGATTATAAACCTAATGAGATTTATTTCATTTTAATAAGTTGCTCTCAATGCAAAATTTGCTTCCACTCATGCTAAGTAAACCAAATATGTGGACTGTCACTCTGTTTGGTGAGGACTGGGTAACCTATAAAACATAAAAATAACTTCTTACAAGGACACAGCAAACCAGTGCCTTCGTGAGAGGTCACTGTGTGTCTTTCTGATGCTGTGTCACTTCGTCACTATTAATCTAGTGCTTTTGTCCATTTCCCCCAGTATGGTGCATATTCAGGAATGTTATTTGTAAGGATCTCATAAAGGGTCTCCTCACTTAGCTCTCCTATCAAATGAAAGGGATTCCTGTATGTTCTTAGGGTAACATTTGGCAAATGTCAAGCAATGAAAGCTTTGATCAATTTTATCTACAGAACCAAGAGCTAAGGAGTCTCTTGGGATCATCAAAGGATTTGTGCCAGTGAAAGTTTGGCAAAAGGTCAGCAAGTTCTACACATTTATGACTAACCATTTTTATTGGTAATAGCAAAATATCCTCCTTAAGGAATAAGTATCAGGTGCTTTAATTACTTCTGAGCAGCAGATGTTTTTCATGCTTTATTTGTCAATTTTAACTTTTGCTCTTATTCAAAATATTGAATTTAAAGTTGACAGTTTTCACAGATCCAGATGTCATACTCATATTTCTGAAAGCTTACTGGTAAAATAACTAAAAATTAACTAATTGTCATTCTCTTATTAATATAAATATGTACCCAGTGATTTGGACACCAGTATCAGTCTGTCCCTGTATTTTGGTTTGAGACAAACAGGATTTCCATTTAGGTCAATTTTCCACAGCTTCATCAACTTGTTCAGTAAAAACTCCAAATCCTATAATTAGAGAAGAAAAAGCAAAGCACAAGCATTTCATATTTACCAATACTTCTAGCATGTCGGTTATTGTTTTTAAAGGTAATTACTGCTTTCATGGAATTCTAGCTCAGAGCCAGGTACTTAGAAGGTGCATAATAACACCTTCTAAATAAATTTTGTGCATAATAATACCTTCTAAAATAAATTTTGAATAAAACAATCTATACTGATAATAGAAGGCACTGAAGATAAGGCAAAAAAATGAGGTCTTAAGTTGAGGGCCACACAACTGTTCTCTGTCATACTCCCTTAAATGGCCCCCACTGCAGCTCAGAAAAAACTTTTTCCTGCGGAAGATGCCCTATTCTTAGTGTAGCTCATAGAAGTTTACAGATTAGGCAATTAAGGGGTAGTGAGTAAGCAGTCCCTTGCGATTGTAAGCAATGTGTGTTGTTGCTTTTTATTTTACAAATAATTCATATTAATTTTTTAAGTGTTAAAAAACAAAAACAAAAACAAACACCTACCAAAAGGAAAAATGGAAGAAAGGGGGAAAAATCATTTGTATGCTTATCATGCAAAGATCATTTTTAATATGTTGTTATGTATCCGTCTAATCTTTTTTGAGCATAGGGACTTTTGGGAGGGTACATATTTTTAATTGTCATAATTGTACTGTGAGTACAATTTTGTTTTACATTATATCATAAATGTTTACATGTTTTTATAGTTTATAAGAAGAAAATCAGCTGATATTTCAAGGAATAATAAAGTTATTCTGTGTTCTACAATCCAAATAAATGTGAGGAAAACAGATTAACGGAACTTAAGAACTAACTGTCTCAGTTTGCTTTTTTCACAGCCTCTTTGTCCCTATTTGAGTTTCTTTTCCCATCCAATGTCACTCTTTCCCCAGTACCTTGTCTGTCATTTCTTGCTTTCTCCCCTTCCCCCTTTTCTAAAAAGTGTATTTTATCTTAACTACTATTTAATGAAAATGAAGTACACTTTGAGTATTTCTTATATGTGGCCAAAGTTCTGTTCTTTATCTTTAATATCAGATGCATTTAATCTGTTATGAATTACTCAACAAAAGTAGTGCACTTAGGTTGTTTCCATAGCTTGGCTATTGTGAATATTACTGCAAAGAACATGGGAGTGCACATGTTGCTTTTAAAATAGTAATTTCACTTCCTTTGGATATATATCCTAAATTTAGTCTGCGCTAGACTTTGAGGGATTCCAATAAATAATTTATGTGAAAATATAAGACTTTTTTTTTTAAATAAGGCAATCCTAAACTTCCTGGCACTGCTGCTTACTGTGTGACCTTAGGCAAATCTATGTCTTCATCTATAACTTGAGGTTAATTAAGATTAGTTGCCATGGCATATAAAGTGCCTGGAACAAAGAAAGTAATAAATGTGTCAGTTCTCTGCCTGTTTGCCTGCCCTGCTACCTCTTAACTAATTCCCTTTCTCTTAATTTTTGTCAACAGAGAGTGAAAACATTTTAAGTAAGGAAGAAGAAACTTCTTGACCTATTGACAAATAAGTAGTTGGCTTTTTATAAGAAAGTTATCTTCATAAATTATAACTTCAGCCTTCAGTTCTGGGCTCTGGAATATGCCTTCTCCAACAGCATTTGTTTGGCAGTGTTTAATACAGCCATAACTACCTTATTTTACGTGAGAGTTACATTGTATTTCTCTTACTCTAGAAACCTGTAAGGAAGGGATTATGCATCACATTTTTTACAGTGTTGAATGTGATGCCCATCATCTAAAAGTTAATAAGAACACTTACAGAACTTTAAATTGATATAGATAAAAGAGTGCTTAGAGTTTTGTTAATTGTTCTTTACTTGATAAATGACCCTCGACATACTCCCTCCAGTGTATGTTTATTTAAGACTAAACTAATCCTTTGCTGAAATACGATTACCCTTTGGATACGCTCTGGTTGTTCATTGCCTTCCTGTCTTTGCCTTCCTGTCTTTAATAAAAAGCTTTCACTTTCCTCCTCTTCAATAAGTTACTAAAGGAAGCAGACACTTTTCTGGACAGTCTCTGTTTGATAAATGATCATGTCATGCTATCACTTAGAGGAGTGCTGCAAAATACTGAGGAGCAAATTATATTTCCCCTGCAGGGTTGATGCCTAAGCTCCTGTATAGGCGTCTGCAGCACAGCAATGCTCTCTCTACCATTAATGATGACCGCTGATGAACCTGTATTTGACCAGCATACTCCAATCTTTATTGGCAATGTCTGGAACAACCATCCTTACTAAATCTAAAGACAGCCAT